CCCCCCCCCCCCAGCTTACGCTGAAGAAACAAACATAACTATTGCAAAACAAACAAAACTGCTCCATAGCTGAGCATTATGATAACTATCAGCTAAATAAAGCAAAAAGCAAACCCTGTCCTCCATTACACTACACATTTATTTACCTTTGGAGAATGGATTGTTTGGGCCTTGCAGTCGATTTTTGGTAACATCAAGAGCTCCGAAACTGAAACAGATGCCATTTAGAAATTCCCCGGATGCCCTGAAAATATGGAAGTGTACAGATGCTTTATGAACTTCTACAACTTTTTTTTTTCCCATAAGAAAAAGAGAGACGTGTTTTCCAATGTTATCAGAGGAAAAAAGGAGAACTACAAATCCTGCATGGTTTGCCTGTAACCATATGTATCTTTTCTAATTTACTAACAGTTGCACAGACAACAAATATTAGAGATACACAAAACTCATCCAAAAACCACTGTGTTATCCTGTCTGAAAGTGCTAAAACTTGTGCTGTTATGCTCTGCTGCTAACCTTTTATATGCAGCATACCACAAGGCATATGGGATCAGATTTTGGCCTCAAGCATGTAAAATATTACAGCATTTTTCATGTATTTATTATTTTTCAATAAACTGACTGTAATAGTGATGTTCAAAAGAAAAAAATTGAACTCATGATATACTTTCCTTCTTTATTGTGTGTAGACAAGACCTAAAACTTTAGAGCTGTTGAAAAGTAAATGAAGGTTTAGTGAACATTTCATTGCTTCCGCTCCAGCCCTTACATTACTACAGTCCTTGACATGCTGAACATTCAGTGGCTGGTCAGCCAGACCAGCCCCTGCTTATTACGCTGACTGAGGGCTTGGTTTGGTTGCCTCCACACAAGCAGCTAGTGCCACCTGAGTCTCTAAAGTATCCAAAATACCTCCACAGTTGACAGAAATGACACAGGACCCGCACCCTTACTTACTAAGCAGCAGCTAGAGGCCAAGTCAGATAGATACTCTAGCACATGTCTCACAGAGCGACATTCGGGTCCACAGGCACCCGACTCACACTTTGGCTCTCTACTGATGCCTCTCAGTTGACTAACAGGAGGTTGAATACTTGGCTTATGTTTCCATATCTAAATGTGACTCCTGCAGCCCAATTCAGCTCCTTAAAATTTGACATCTAGTAGCATTTTAGCCCTTGACATATATTCTGCCTCATCTCCCAGCTGCCACTTCAGAAAGTAGCCAGTCTCCTGTACCTCTTGAGGTCTTGAACACCAACACCTTACACCATACTAGAATTTGAGGTATGCACAGTTGGAATCCATCTTGGGAGCTCCACAGGCTTGATGTAGCTTTGCTTGGTACTTTACCTCACATCACAGGGCACACGGCATACAGGCAGACTAAAAAGTCTATGAATTTGACACATTTCTGGTAAGATCCTATTTTGTAAAAATTTGGAAGTTTTTTGGGCAAAAAATTGAGCTTAGAAAATTGCACATTTCCCTGCAGCATAATCCGTGTTACAAGTCAGAACCAAAGGCTAGCTTAAGCCAAAACCTAACTGAAATACGAAGCAGAAGCTAGTGAGCTTGGAGAGCTCCACGGCATATGAAGTGCTGAGTCTAAGCAACCAGTGCCTTCTCGGGGAAGGAGGTCCTAAGCGAGGCGACTGAATGTGAAGTGGAAGATGAATTCCACAGAAGTTCAAAGGCCTAACAAAAAGCTGTCCTTAAAAGCAATGTTTAGGGACAACCACCCCTCAATAAAAGGCTTTGACAGTGTAAGATATCGCAGCAGAAGAAACTGATGTTGCTACTGAGGTGGTAACATGAAGGGGACAGCTCACAGGGGCCAGCCTTGCAGGATTTTGTACTTGTACTGTAAAGTAGACTTTTATTTAAAATATGTTTTTAAGCAGCAGGAAGTATGGAAATTAATTTTTATTATTAATTTTGTTTCTTGCAGAAAGCAAGCAATGAATTACTACGTCAAGAGGAAAAATAGACACAGAAATGAAAAGTTAACAAAAATTATTTTTAATTTCAGAAATGGTTTAAGAGTATCAGGGATGGGGAAGATTTCAATTAATCATATTTGATAAAATACAAAAAATTATGAGAAAACTATTCAGAAATATCCTTGTTGAACATATTAGTGGAAATTTATAAACCGTATCTATGCAGACATCATGCTGAGGCAAACTGAAGAGTATTAAGTTTGCAAAGATTCTCTCTGTGGCAAGCTTGATAGTTTGCCTTACCAAATAATGATGCAATTATGACTGCACAACAAGAGGCTATTGCTTGCTGAATAATGGTTGTTTTATCTAAGTTGCTATCACTCATTTCAGCCATGGCTTTATTCCTGGAGAAAAAAAAGGACTGTTAAGGAACAGAAAAACATATTGCACGGCTATGTTCAAAACTTGCAGAAAAATCAAAGGAAAAGATATTTTAGATTTTCATTAATACATTCTGTATAAGCGGCAATAATGTAAATGCTAGTTTTCTCCTTGTATACCAGCATCCCCGTAATTTTTGAAACTGGAGTATTTGTGCCATGTTTTATAAATAATCTAAGTTTTCTAAATGACAATAAATCTTCCAAATCCTTCTTACACACATTACAATGTTTATATTTTTTGTAAACCACGTTAAATATTTAATGTATTACCTCTTGCTGCTACAAAGGTTTTAGCAGCGTGTAAATAATCTGTACAAAGATAAGTTCCCTGCCTGCGGCCCATAAGCTGTAGCACAGCAGAATAATTCATCTAGCCCTCCTCTTGCTTCTGTCGCTCCTGTGAGAAAATCCAGAGGTCTCCCGGTTGATTCAATGGTCACAGCCTACCAGTGGTGACTATATCCCCTGTATGTAATTAACAGTGAGTAACTAGTATAAATACTAATTCCTTGAACAAATCCTGCTGCACGGCTGCATAGACGAGGTTACAATACCTTAGGAATGTACTCACAGTATCTAAAAATAAGGAGCTTATGTATTCCCAGTGTCTGCAACTAGCCAGGACAGGAGAAAATAATAAAAATAACGACATTTCAGAACATAAAATACCCAAACAAAGGTGTATCCTTCAAAATGCACATTGTGCAAAAGTGCAGTTGTAGCTTTATCGGTTGACATTGATCTCAGCCTTATATTCGCTCTACATTTCGCTATTTTCACTAAGTTTCAAATAAAAGGTAAAAAGAGATTAAGGCGTGTAAAACAATACTCTCCTCTCAGATGCTAATAATTACTAATTCGGAGGAGAGGGTCCTTTTTAATATCTTTTTAAACTTATTTCGTAACGGAACGACTTTCCAGGGTGGCACACACAACCCATTCGTAAGCAGCGGCGGGCTGTGACGGCCGGAGGCACACCCC